TTAGGCACACAAGGAATTTGTCTCTGGTGCATAAGCTGTGTATGTATGTGTGTGCATGTGTGTGTTTGTGTGTGTGTGTGTGTGTATGTATGTATGTATGTATATATGTGTGTGTGAATGTGTATGTATATATGTGTATTAAGATCCTTGGCCACCTGTGATTAGACGCACAAGGAATTTGCCTGCGATGCCTAGGCTCTCTGTGTGTGTACACACACACACACACTTATACACTGGAGACAAATTCCTTGTGTGTCTAACCACACTTGCCCAATAAAGGATTCTAATTCTAACCCCCCCACACCCCCCTAATCTATAATCTATACCTCTTTATAGCCATATATCTAGATCTATACTCCATAATTATACATTATAGATCATTACGTACATTCCATGTCCCTGTGTGTGTGTGTGTTGTGTATCACCAATACGTAACTATAATCCATCCATCCATCTAGTTCCACATATTCTCCTCACATGATGACCTTTATTTTTGGACTCCTGCCTGCTTAAACGGCACCAGGGTTTTATTTTTTATTTTGTTTTGGCAAAGAATTCACTGAGGAGGCCGAAGCCACCAAATGGGGGTTTTTTTTTTCCCAGTGTCCCCCCCCCTCCCCTCTCTCCCTCCCTTGGGAAACTCAGCAGGCCTACCTGGCAGGGCTGTCATTCCTCTCAGGCGCCGCCTGGAAGGGAAGGCCGTATCCCCAGCACGACCCCCTTTGCCCTTTGACCTCCTTCCCTTGCCCGCGTGACCCCCCCCCCCATGACCTCCGACCCCAGCCCCAACCGCCGAGCGCGCGCCTGACTCACCTGCCTCTCCCTCGGGAATGAGCTGCGAGGTCAGACGCCGGCTCATGACGTCACGCGAGGGAGGGGGCGTGGCCGCGCGTCACGTTCGTCGTCGTCGTCGTCTTTGTGGGCGGGGCTGTCCCCGACGCATGCGCGGCCCCGCGCTCTCTTCAGGCGTAAGGCGCTCCCGCGCGGGGTGGTGGTGCGCCCGCCCTTCAGCTCGTTCCTCGCTCTTTTTTTCCCCCCCACTCGCTCGCCGAGGTAAGGAAATGTCTCCTCGCCTTATGGAGAAGAATATGGTGATGTCTCGCTTACCAACACACACACACACACCCTCCTCACTATTTAGCCGCCCGATTCCTCCCAGGCGTTCTGTGCCTTTAAAGGGGGTCTGTCACTCAAGGCGAGGTATCCAATCAGGCGCTGCCCTGCCTCCCCAGTTCTTCTAAGACTCTCATGGATTGGCCCTTAGACGTGCCAGTCCGGCCCACTCGGATGCCCCAATCACGTGCCTTCCCTAAGCATTGCTCTTCTCCCATTGGATAAGCCGGCCGGCAATCTAGTGTGGCGTGACGAGCCGCACCCCCAGCCTTACACATCAAACCGTGACTCAGCAGGGTGCCGCTGACGTATCCATTCGCCTTCTCTGATTGGCCAAGGGGAGTGTCAATCGCGACCTGGGTGGAACCTCCCTCTTGCAGAGCCCAAAAGTGCTTTTTGCACGAGCAGCGGCCTTTTGCACATGCTCAGAGGCCCCAAAACTCTCATTTAAGACCTTTCTGGCCCTTGAGTGCTTTTGTGCAAGGGGCAAAAATCCCCTATTCCCAAGGGAAAGGCATTCCCTGAGCATGTGCAGAGTTCCCCAAGGAAACCACCCCTCTTTTTTCAAAGCAGCTGGCAGCATCTTTCCTTCTGCAGAAAGGCAGGAAGCCGCAGCCTTTGGGCATCAAGAGGACCTCACTCTTCAGCGGGAGTGGACGAAAAACGTGACCAGAGGTTGCTGGCAGAAGAAGAACCAGCATTAAATCATGGCTTAACGCCCGCCTGGAACTGTCCCCGATGAATCATGCAAGGGGAAAAAAATTAAATACGAAGCTCATCTCGTGCCAAGAACATCGGCTCTGCTTGGGCTGCAGCCTCAAACTGGAAAAAATGGAGAGACCCTCCCGCAGCTGGAAGGCGAGCCTCTCAGGGAGCTTGCCTCCATCCAATTCCTGACCTGCTGGTTTTCCTTTATGCAAGGATTTTTAAAAACAGCGGCAAAAATAGGCAGGAAAAAATAGCTTAACTTTATAGCAATAGCAGTTAGACTTATCTACCGCTTCATAGGGCTTCCAGCCCTCTCTAAGCGGTTTACAGAGTCAGCATATTGTAACAATCCGGGTCCTCATTTCACCCACCTCGGAAGGATGGAAGGCTGAGTCAACCTTGAGCCGGTGAGATTAGAACCGCCGAACTGCAGATAGCAGTCAGCTGAAGTGGCCTGCAGTACTGCACCCTAACCACTGCGCCACCTCGGCTCTTGATGATAGAAACACCTCCAAAAAGAAGGACGTCTCCTTTACAACTTCTACATCTCTACTGTGCATGCCAGCCAGGGGATTTTTGAGAGTTGAAGTCCGGCTGTTCTTTAAAATTGCTGACACATTTGGTTTAAAAAAGGAGCAAAAAACTCCCCTTTTCGAAAAGCTAATAAACGCAACAAAAGTCTTGTCACTCATCTGGATTCGCCCCGTTCCTTTCCCTCCCCCTTTCGGGCATGAAAAGCAGGCCACGGAAGGATCGGAAGAACATTTCCGTTCCCGTTCAAATCAGAAGTGCGTTTTCGAGATGGCAAGGATCAAAAATGCGAAAAGAAAGGATTTTAGGAAGGTTATTTGTCAGATGCATTTCAAAGTCCCTTCTTCCCCCATCTGGAAACGTTTGCAAAGACCAGCAATTAAGAATGACTGGTTTGGCCATGTCTGATTTCTCTCTATCGTCTTGGCAACCTTCAGTATTTTTGGCTTAAACCCCAAGGGCAGGAAACATGCAGAGGGATGAATCACCCCAGCCACCGCACCAGAAAATCATCCTCCCCTGTTTCAAAAGCCTGCTTAGGCTTGTGAAAATCACAAGTGTGGTTTGCCATGTTACTCCACTCCAGAAAACAACTCTTACCATCTCCTGAGTCTAGAAAATTCTGTGTTTCATATTGGGCAAACTCTTCCCCCTTCGGCCTCCCGGGATTGCTATGGAACTGGGCAGTTTTAGCAATAGCAATAGCAGTTAGACTTATATACCGCTTCATAGGGCTTTCAGCCCTCTCAATGGAAAATAAACACCCATTTATTTGAAAAATTTCTCTTGCTGCTCCGTTAAAAAGAAACCCCTCTCGCAATCAAAATTATTCTGATTAGATTCAGGCACTTTTCTTAAAATTATTTTTTTCTGAATAGAGCTCCACCGTTTCCCTCCCATGCCGCTGATTTGTGTTTTGAAACTACCTAGGATGAGACACACAATCGGGGTTTGATGCCAGGCGTTATTAAAAACCTTTGGAGCCTGTCCAGACTACTAGCATAGTTATTGGAGTTTTATTCCCGCTAATCATAATAATAGAATAGACAGACCAATACAAAAAAAAAGAGAGATTTATTTTTGGGCCTAGGACACAGCATGAGGGCAAACCGAAGCGCATTTCCTGGTGGAAACAAGATGGCCTGTTATGTGTGTTTTTCACAATTTGATATTAGGGGTTAGTTTCTCCTGGACGTTGTCAGCTCTGGTGGTTAGGTCTGGGACAACACGTGCTGCTTCGAAGCAGAATGGACTGGCTTGGACGGGGGATCAGGCAGGCGAGGGCGCGCGTGGCGAGCACCGTTGAAGCTCTCCCTGGGCCAAAACGGGCCGTCAGTGCTTGGGAAAGAGCCAGTCTGAGTCTTCAGAACTTCTTTCCCGTCGGCTTCATTTTCTTAACGTAATACTCGTTGCAGCCGTTGGTCAACCCGGCAAAGAGGGACAGGTAGCCTTCAAAGCTGATTTTGCCGTCCCGGCATTCCTCCAGGTTCTTCATGATCCGGTCGATGGCCATGGGGTCCTTCTGATTCTAGAGGTGGGTTTGAAAAAAAAAAGACAGGAGGAGAAGATGAGATGGTCATGACGGAGGAGATGAGGAAGACGAGGATGGGGAGATGATGGTGATGGAGAAGGAGGATGAGATGGTTATATGGTTATGGGGAAGGAAGAGGAGAAGACGAAGAGGTTGAGGAGATGGTCATGATGAAGGAGAAGGAGATGAGGAGGTGGAAGATGAGATGATTGTGATGAAGGGGACGATAGGGTTGAAGAGATGGTCATGATTTAGAAGGAGATGAGAAGATGGAGGATGAGGGGATGGAGAAAGGATGGGGTGATTATGATGGAGAAGGAGGAGATGAGGTTGAGGAGATTGTCATGAGAAGGAGGTGAGATGGAGGAGGATGAGCAGATGATCATGATTGAAAAGGAGGATTGGATGGTTATGATGGAGAAAGAGAAGGTGAGGCGGAGAAGAAGAGGAGGAGATGACAATGAGAAGGAAGAACATGCGAGGATCATGGTGGAGAAGGTGGAGGAGGAGATGTTGGGAGGACCACGAAGGAGAAGAGATGACGATCAAGATGGAGGTGACGAGAAGGACAAGATAAGATGATCAGGATGGAGGACACGATGAGATGAGACGGAGAAGATGATGATGGGGAAGATGATGAGAAGGAGGACGAATAAGATTATCATGATGATGGTGAAGACAACAAGAAGGAGATGGTTATAATGGAGGACGAGAAGAAGAGAAAGGAGAAGGAAGGGTGCTTGTTTCACAGGGGTGACTCTCTACCAGAGAAGGGGAGGACACCCCCACACCCCTTCTCTTCACTCACCTCCATGTACCCCGGCACCTCTTTTTCCATCAGCACCCGCAGGTCCTCCTTGGTTAGGTAGTTCTTGTCGCCGGCAAATTTGTGGAAGGTAAACATGACAGTCTCCATAGCATGCTCCAGCTGGGAAGGCATCTTGGCAGGGGTTTCAAGGAGGCAGACTGAGTCGAAGGAAGGAAGGAATGAAGGAGAGAGGAGAGAGAGAGAGAAAGGAAGAAAGAAAAAAAAGAAAGAGGCAAGAAAGAGAAAGAAAAAGAAGAGGCAAGAAAGAAAGGGGAAAAAAGGAAAAAGGAGGGAAGGAGGCAAGAAAAAAGTAAGAGGCAAGAAAGAGAAAGAAAGAAGAGGCAAGAAAGAAAGGGAAAGAAAGACAAGGGAAAGAAAGAAAAAAGGCAAGAAAGAAAGGCAAGAAAAAAGTAAGAAGAGGCAAGAAGAAAGAAAGAAAGAAAGAAAGGCAAGGAGAAAAAAGAAAAGAGACAAGAAAGAAAGGGAGAGAAAAAGAAAAGAAAGGGAAAAAAGAAAGGGAAAGAAAGCGAAGCAGGAATGAAAGAGGGAAAAAAGGCAAGAAAGAAACAGAAAGAAGGGAAAGAAAGAAAAAAGGCAAGAAAGAAAGGCAAGAAAAAAGTAAGAAGAGGCAAGAAAGAAAGAAAGGCAAGGAGAAAAAAGAAGAGACAAAAGGGAGAGAAAAAGAAAAGAAAGGCAAAAAAGAGAGGGAAAGAAAGCGAAGCAGGAAAAAAGAGGGAAAGAAAAAAAGGCAAGAAAGAAATGGAAAGAAAGAGGCAAGAAAGAAAGAAAGAAAGGCAAGGAGAGAAAAGAAGGAAGAGGCAAGAAAGAAAGAGAAAAGGAAAGAAAGGAAAAAAGGCAGGAAAGGAAAAAAAAGAGAAAAAAGAGGGAAAGAAAAAAGTGTTATTTATAGGTTATTTCCTCTACTCATCAAATCCCAGGAGGGTTGGAGAATCTCGCCCAACAACGACCCAACCCACGTTGGTAATTTTAGAACGATAGTCCTCAACTTACAACCATTTGCGATTTAGCGACTGTTGGATGTTGCAAGGGCGATGGGGAAAAATGACTTTGCAACTATGACTCACAGCCGTTGCAGCAGCCCCATGGCTCAAGTGATCGGAATTTGGTGCTTGGCAACCACCATGTATTTTGCAAACCGTTGTGGCTTCCCGGGGTTGCATGATCCCATTTGGGGAATATAATCAATAATGGGAAAACCAGGGATTCGTTTAACGACCGTGCGATGACCCGAACCGCAGTGATCAGCCGAATAACCGTGTGTGTGTGTGTTTTTACAAAAGGCCATAAAATTGGGCTCGTTTTGACTCGAATTTTTATTTGGAGCGAACACGATCAACCGGCACGGAATGGATAAGAGACCACATCATTTTAAAAAAAGAATTCCTATGTTTCAAATTCTCAAAGTTTGGAGTTATCATGCAAACTGTCCGAAGAAACGAAGGTCACCATTTTCACCACACAAAAACCGAACCCTCCTTTGCATCTCCTAAACCCCTTCGAATCCATCCTTGGATGCTTTCAAAAAGAAGGGGGTTGGACTAGATGACCTACAAGGTCCCTTCCCAGCGTCTGCTTCTGAATGGAATCCGCCCATTTCCCAGCTGGCGAGGCCCTTCCAGACAGGAGAAAGTCCAACTTTCCCGCTGCCCAAGTCTCATTCTGACCCTGCCCCGTTGGATAAAGGCCAGCTGCTGCAGCTCGCACAAACACACACACACACACACCCCACAACCGGATGTCTAATTGCAGGCACACGTCTCTCGTCCCCTCGGGAGGCTGATCCACGCAGAGAGGAATGAGCAGAGTACAATCCTGGGTCGAAGATTACCTAAACGGATCTCTCTCGCGCGGGGTGACTCACCCCAGGCGAGTAATACACCGAAGAATTTAGGACTCGCCTTTCTGGTTTAAGGAAGGGCCGGTGGAACTCCACGCCCCGACTCCTGTCACCGTTGCACAGTGGAATTTATGGCATTTACAATGCACCTAAATCCTGGCGGGGGGGGTGGGGAATAGAATGGGGAAAGGAGATTTTAGGAAGGAAGGAAGGGGAAAGAGAAAAAGAAAGGAGGTAGGAAAGAAAAAGTAATAAGGAAAGGAAAGGACGAAGGAAAGTAAGGAAGGGAAGAAAAGGAATGAAGGAAAGGAGAGAAAGAAGAAAGGAAAGAAGGAAGGAAAGAAGAAAGGGAAAGAAAAAGGACGAAAAAAAGGAAGGGAAAAGAGAAAAAGAAAGGACAGAAGAAATAAGGAAAGGAAAGGACGAAGGAAAGAAAGGAAGGAAGAAAGGGAAGAAAAGGAAGGAAGGAAAGGAGAAAGAAGAAAGGAAATAAGGAAAGAAAGAAGAAAAAAAGGAAGGAAGGAAGGGAAAGAAAAAGGAAGAAAAAAGGAAGGGAAAAGAGAAAGAAAGGAAAGAAGAAATAAGGAAAGGAATGCAAAGGACAAAGGAAGAAAAGAGGAAGGAAAGAAAAGAAAGGAAGGAAAAGTGAAAGGAGGAAGTGAGGAAAGAAAGAAAAAAAAAGGAAAGGAGTGGAAAGGAGGAAGGAAAGAAAAAAAGGAAGGAAAGGAAGAAGAAAAAGGAAAGAAATAAGGAAAGGAGGAAGGAAAAGACAGAAGGAAGAAAAAAAGAAAGGAAAGAAAAATCCACAGATCTCTGCCTCAAGCTAACGTGGCCAATTCAAAATTGAATGTATTCAATTTTATAAAAAAAAAAGAAAGACTTTTACCTCTCCCAGCCAGGTGAAATTAAGTTGGACACCTCGGTTAGAGGTGAATTTCGTTTGCCATGTGTCTTTATTCTTATTCGCAAACACTGGATGCTTTTAAACCCCTCGCGGTGTTCCCCGCTCCCCCCAGAGACCCCTGTCTCTGGATCCAATATTCCTTAGAAATGCTGATTATTTTGAAAGTTTTGATACACTGTGACTCTGAAAAGCTTTCCACTTGTATCCGCTGATTTGGCCTTCGACACATTGTTCTTTCGCAGGTTATTACACTCCCCCCCCCTCCACAAAACCACACCCAGGCAGGGTTGTACCAGAGAGATTTTTTTTTGGTGTGGTCAAATCTAAAGTTCAATCCCATCATTTTTGACTTTCGCTCTCCCAGGGCAGCAAACGGGACCCAGTTGATTCCTGCGAAATCGGAAACAATTTGAAAAACCAGATCGATTTGGCAGTGCCCAGAATCTTCCCTTTGCCAGAACTGCATTTTTTCCCCAGCCCAAATAATAATTGTTCTCCTTCCACATTCTCTCCTGCAAACTTTCCCCAGCACAGAAAGTGGCACCATCACCCTGAGATTAAAATTGGTTTTTTTTTTGTGTGTGTGTGTCTGTTTTGCAGCCTGGCACCGAGGGGAAGTAACGGAGCTTCACCACAAAAACCAACGGCTGATTTACTCCTGATTGTAGCTTCCAGAGGGGCGTTCCCCTAAGATGGCTTTGAAAGAGCGCAGAGGGAGAAGTGAGTCCCCCTCCATCTTCTCCTCCTCGTTGCAATGAGTAAGCAAAAGCGTCAGTGTGATTTGGGCACGATGCCCACCGTCCCGGCCTTTGCTGCAATCCCAGCAGTTTTTTTTCCTGCCACCCATGGGTGTGTCCCCCGACTCCCTTAGCATTTCTCGGTCCTCGGAGCTGTGCTTCTATTGAATGAACTCAAAACCCTTTTGAGCCGAACCAAAAATAATAATAATAATATACAGCTTCCAAAAGCAACCACTTCACCAAGGAGATATAAAAAGCAGAAGAAACTTTTCTTTTTTAAAAAAAAATAAAGTTCCCCTCCGGTACATTTCTCCCAGCGGGATGTGGCCAGCCCTAAAGCTCCAAACCTTGCTCTCTTAGGGACTAGAAACTTGGTTCTTTTAAATCTCTCCTTGTAAAAGTAACTTCGGGATGATCCTTTTTCCCTGTGTTTTTTTTGGGGGAGAGATCCCTTCGG